TTGATAGATACAGTAAATAATGACATCACACATGGACACTGACTCTAATGACTTTATTTCCTTCTATACCTTGTCCATCACAACGTAACCCAACGGCAAGCACACCAAATTTGTCAATCATACGGAACACGCTTTATACCAAGCGATAGGTTATCCACTGCGAATGGGCTAGACAGAGATGGTCAAGCTAGGGCTGTCCAGAAAGGGTGTTACACAATCGTCTATGAACGATTATACAGAGCTGGGTGAAGTTCAGCTTTCCTCTACAAGACTACATACTCCACCAATGCGATTAGTAAGTTGCACGTCGTTGGCCTTAACTCATTGCTGATACTTGGAGTGAATACATAGATGTTATAGCTTTATAAGAATATAATAGGAATTGCGTGCTCTGGCGTCTCTGTGGCTACTTTATGATATTACTTGTGGTATATTCTGCATAACAGAAATACAGGTCTTTTGACATTCGAACCCTTAATAATGCGGATTTCTTCCTGCTGACACGGTCCTTGTGATCGGAATGACCCAGGCCCACTTCAAAGTGAACCGACGCTCCAATAGAAACTGCGTGTCGCCAACCAACCACATGGTAGGTATTGCAACTGCGGAATTCTTCTTCATTTGAATGAAACACAAACTTTCGTGTCTACGTCCCCTACAAGAACAAGTATCTGTTTGGGAAGGTAACGGAAGCGTACTATACCCATGCACTTTGTTGACTTCGAACGACACGTGCAAGGCGGTCGAATCAATTTGCAACTACTCCATCTCGTTGTACCGCTTATGATGACAAGGAAAAACAAAATTAATCCCTTCCACGAATTTACAAACTTTCATGCGTTGCACAAGATCAGTTGACATTCTGCTGCCATTCGTTCTTTAGATGCGTTTATCCTCGCCCCCTCGTATGCATCCGCATTTCCTAATTGTATGGCGAACAAACAAAACATTCAAGTCCACTACAGCCATTGATTGTAACCTCTCTATGGTCAGGGTGTGAATGAATCAGATAACCTAATTGCTTAGCCCATTAGGTTTGTTAATCCTTCACTTACAGAATTCATCCCTTAAGGAGGGTGTGTGACTCGAATACTAGTCGACAGGCATAATCACTATCTTCAGATGCATTAGCGGAGTGTGGTTCAAACAACATATGAAGTGCCAATTGCAAAAATAGCTTACGATTAAGCTAACGAGACCGGTGGGTGGGCGAGTGAAGATATACACCGGACCAACGTAGGCAGTGCAAGCGCGAAACGCTTTCTTGTGAGACATCAAAGGGTTCACTACCAGACATCAAATGATAGAGATGGAAAGTGTTGTTCGCCCGAAAAAACTGCACGCCACGATGCGTTACGACCTTATGTAGATAGCTAGCGTCGAACCCAAGAGCACTGTTAGTTCAGTCGGAAACGTTTGGCACAACGGTCAGTGATTGATCGGTGGGTCATAATGAAGTACTCGTTGCGTGATTAGATTGCGACGCGCAATCTCAATAGGAACCGCGATCCGCATTGAAGTGAGCCTTTGTCAATGTGATCAAATAAAGTCGAAACGCATCATGGAGTGCAGTGTTTTCGGGCAGCCGATACACAATTCCCATCTGCTTCAGATATGGTCCTAGTGGACGAATTGGTCAAAGTTCAATTCAGTGCGAATCACGGTCCACATTGGGACTGCGCGTTGCAATCCAATCACACAACGAGTACATCAAAATGACTTACCAATCAATCAAATCATCGACTTAAATCATGCTCGATTAGTAGAGCAGAGATAGGTTGCAAGCACCGGTGGACCACGACAAAAAGACACCTCATAGCTTCATTGTGGAGTGACTATTTTTCTGATCAATATGACAATGTTTGGTTCTAGCCTTGGGTTGATAGCTAACAACCGGGAAATGAAGCCCCAACTCGTACCTTTGGTGGATATGCGAGTACAGTGAGCTGAATGAAGCACGCATAATTCATTGGATGGTAATTTCGAATCGGCCGCAACACGGTGAATTTGCACTTCACCAGGAGTGGCGCTGAACGTAACGATCAAACGGAAGACTGGAAATCCACAAGAAACAGGCACAGACCTCATGAACGAGATCACACGGCGCAAGGCAAGCCCGACAGAACGAGCGGACCGTAAGCAACGAAAGGTAGTGGGCCTGAGCCAAGGGGAATAGACAAGAGTTTGGTCGAAAGGCAAATAAATCAGAAGGAAGCACAAAGTTGGAGAATCCGCTGTGTGCTTGGGTTGATACAAGCAACCTCTATTGAGACCTCGGTTCACTTGAGGTGGACCTCGGTCATTCCGATCACAGAGACCGTAAGTAAAATGGAAACATTATAGTGTTGCTCACCCCAACACTGGCACCCGAAGACCGCGGTTTCGTCCTGGTTGGGACTCATCAGTTCGAGATAGCCTGAGTTGGGCCGGAACTCAGAGTCTAGTGGCTCATGGTTGACACCATAAGCACTATGCCACTGAGAGCCACGAGCAACGCTTGGTCCAGCGAGGACAAATGCAAAGTTGGACTTGGAGGCTCCGATGGTGGTTGGGTTGATACAAGCAACCTCTATTGAGACCTCGGTTCACTTGAGGTGGACCTCGGTCATACCGATCACAAAGACCGTAAGTAAAATGGAAACATTATAGTGTTGCTCACCTCAACTCTGGCACCCCAAGACCGCGGTTTCGCCCTGGTTTGGACTCATCAGGTGGAGATAGCCTGAGCCACTAGGCTCTGATTTCCACCCCAGCTCAGGCTATCTCCACCTTAAGAGTCCAAACCAGGAAGAAACCGCGGTCGTGGGGTGCCAGTGTTGGGATGAGCAACACAAACATATTTCCAGAGAGAAGCACACTTGTCGGTGCATCCAGGAATAACCCCAAGCAAAGTAATGCAACCGTGACAATCGAATCGAAATACTTTAGAACAACTTGAGACTGATCAGAATGCAATTTAGAGAAACGAAGATATGGGGTCAAACAGGCAGGAAAGATCCACCAAGTTTGGACGAAACGACGCAGAAATGTGACGGGCGGCAATTTTCCGTGAATGGTGCGTCGTGGGACGGAAACACCACTGATAGTGAGTGAATCCGTCCCGCCCGTTTCACATTGAGCAGAAGTTCCGCCAGGCGTTGTGGATTACTTTCGTCGAAGAGGAAAATTTGCATTAGTCACTGAGATAGTGAAAATGTTGAGGTGAGGGTATCAGGCCATTAATAGCTGAGCAACGCTGGTCGACTGTCACCGAGGTTAGAGGGAAAATGTTCGGACCAGACTGATGCAGTACTGAGGTTAAATGCAACGGTACGAAGTGTACAACTGTTTGTGCTAGCAGCTGCAGACCGGTTGGTTCATCCACATGAGTTATATAAGTTGGGGCAAAATATTCGTTAAAGATCGACCACATAGATGCGCGAAAGGTCATGACTGATTTTTTAGTGGTAACAATTGAAGCAATATCATTTGTTTTCCAAGATGCAGTCGATCCAGGAGCATAGATATAGTACTAATCACATTACTGCTCATTAGAATAATTTGTTCGCCTGTGCATTGAATTCTGTGTGGCTCATATTTCTCTATAGCCAATGTTTTAGCGGCAGGAGGAATGATCAAGCGCTTATGTAAACATACATTTCGTGGTGTACCAATGAGCGAAGCAGGCTATTTCAATCTCGTTTAGAGTACAGAATATAATAATAATAGGGCGGAATATCTGACTCAAACGTAAAATATCCAACCTCCTAGAGAAACTGTTACTAAGGGAAATATTATAATCTGGGACACGAACGAGTGAGTTCGACATAGCCGTAGTACACACACACACACACACACACACACACACACACACAGTTTGTATTACTAGGACTACATTTGAAGGAAGTGGAATGGATGATAAAAAGTAGAAAGTGCCTTTTCTGAGGAACAGGGATCAATGAAGAGAAGGTGAATAGAAACAGTTTCCTTCGGAATTTGCATAAGAAATCGGAGAGTGGGACATAACATTGCAGTGATAGGTGGAATGGGAGAATCCGTGGTAAAGCGAATGGTGGACAGACGACTAATGAGATGGTCAGATGATGGTGGGGCGGATACAACATTGCCGGATCCCACAAAAAGGGATTAATTTTTGGCTGTCAGTGATAGTTAAAATTAGAGGTCACCGTAGCTGAATCAGGTAAGCCCATATATGTTGCCTGGCAGCCAAGGTTAGCGAGAGACCAGGTCGGTGAGCAAGTATGTAGGTTCGGTCAGTGATATTCTGCCCCAAAAAAACTCACCAGTCACATGAAAGATCCAAAGTAGGAGAGAGTGAATCAAAGAAACCACGACCAAATGTCACAGACACTAGAGAACAAATGGACTTGATACAGTTTCGTCGGACATTAGTCTGAGTCTGCGCGGCTTTTGTCCAGCAGAGGAACAGGTGGCCTGACATCAAAACTGATGCCGTCTGCGATGAAGCCCATCACCGAATAAACAAGTGAAAAGTTATTGAAAAGAAAGGCGACCGCGCAGAAACGACAATAAGGTATTGGAACACCAACTCCGCTTAAATTAACGACCGGAGTGGAGGCGTCGGACTCATCGGCACCTGGTAGTTCGCTGGAAGCAGGATATCTTGCTTGGAATGATTAGAGAGTGATCTTACGATACTCGAGCTAGAGAAAGCAAAATTGATTGCATGATGACTGTCGACAAGGAAGATAAGTTGGAGAACCGGAGGAAGAGGGATTACCACGGATCAAACGGCGAAAATGACTAGAGGTGAAAAGGCACGAATACTTTAATGGAGAAATGTGACCAGAAAAAAGTAGGATGAAATGGAATTGTGATTTGGATTGAAGGAAATCACTGCAAGCAACCAATCAGGTAGTCAACTCAATGTCAGCCTGTCCATCATGGACAATTTAGTGTAACGATGGGCAGCAATGAGCATCGTTCTCTTAAGTGGTACTACTAATTGGGCGGATAGGATGCTTTTCCAGGCTGATGGATGCGGATAAGGTGTCCTAATAAAACAAAGCCTCAAAAAGGCGCAATCTACTTGCTGATTGCAGTTGCGCGATAAATCCTTCATTTGAGAAGGATATCATCGGTAACTGTCAGTCCGAGAGTTGTGGTCAGAGTAATGAATGGCGGAAAGTGGTCGACGGAGCAAAGTGGCAACCCAATGAATTGAGGTAGGGCCTGAGACCACCGATCGCATCTCAGCTACCATAGTGTAATCCGGTTACAAACGTCCCATGGGTACAACGGACGAGAATTTTCCACTGGGGTGGGCAACACAACGAGCATATCCATTGTGAAATAATTTGATGGGGTAAAAATCTCAGTGCAACGCGAAAATGTTATCGGCATCGCATTCAATACAACCAAGAGATCATGAAGAAACACAAGGAAAAACATGAAAAAGCAGTGTTCCACACAAAAGCACGAACCGTATCACCGGTCTGCTTAAGAGCAAGAAAAAGTGTCATCACTACCAGGAGACGGAAGTGTAGTACGTACGCAATCGAGAGTACGAGTGATTAAAAGTGAGTTGATTTCCTACTCAAGTCAGTACACAAAGGGAAAGACAAAAATGGCACGGATGATTTGAGGCCACAAAGCGGTGCAATTCGACCCGATCCCTGCTAGGTAGCCGAATGTACGGCGTATCTTGCGTCTGTGGAGTGCGGTGGATCAGCTTCATGAGGCGAGGGGAAAAGCTGACGTGCCGATTGCATGAGTATTTTCAGACCGGGAGCGAAGCCGTGGATGGACTCGAATCCCGATGCCGACTGGATAAGCAGATTGGCATGCTCAACCGCCTGAGCAAAGTTGGACTGTGAGGCAGCGGACACGCAATCTTTCAAGTGGCCGAGAACCAAGTCGGACAGAACGGGGCCCTCGGAAGACCAACGACGAAAGATAGTGGAGAGAGTGGAAAGTCGCCGTTCGACGATGTCCATTTTGGCAGCAAACGACTGATAAGGAAGAGAGGGAACGAATAGGAAGTATAAAGAGGTGAATAGCAAAAGGACAAAGGAAAAGTAATGCATATATCTCATGGAGCATGCGTTGGTTTTTGCCACATAACCGTCTGGAAGATGGACTAAGAAAACGTTACTGGGTAGGGACCACGCCGTCTAATCCAGGCTCATTCGACAGGAAAAACGGGGGTATCACAATGAACAATAGCGCTCCGTCACCTACGTGGCGCCGAAGCGGAACCCTGAGTACAATCAAATACTCAAACTGCCCATGTAGGGCAACAAAGTTGTGCCCTAGTTCGGTAAAGTTAAGACTAGAGCGCCCGTGAACTGAACATAGTGTTTTCAAAGCAATATCAATATGCATAGGGTGACAATAAACAAGGAGAGAGGAAAAGAGGACAACAATACAAAGAAAAATAAAACGAGGATCAAAAGCAAATACTGATAAAAAATAGTTCGCATAGTAAACTGTTGTATGTGTGAGAGAGAGAGAGAATACAGAGGCGCCACTGACTCGCGACTACGACAAGTGGGACAAAGTCTCTAACTAACCGGGAGGGTGCCAAGATTTCCACTTGGCTGAGACGGTGTATGTTGTGTGCCACTCGGCATCAAAACCTACCCATTGCCAAAACAATATGCAGTTGCTTTGGTACATTATGATTCGTGTAAGCAATTCGGAATTGGCTTCCGTTGATTGGAGTGACTCGGGTGAAAAACGTGACATTTATCGATCGAGCTGATCGAAAGTGCGGCGGTTATACAAAACGAGTAGAAGGGTGGTAAGCATGTAGTGAATACTCGATAACGAATGGCCCCTAGCCCGGTAGTTCAGATAACGTTGGCCAAAAGGAACAGCTCCCAACATAGCATGCACTAACCTGGTCAAGTCTTTCAGTCATATGACTGAAGTTTGTCCCAATCGGCTGCATCAACGGAGACTGGGCGGATAACACCAGAAAAACAGCCCAATATTCTCAAAAAAGAGAGCCTTACATTACCTTTCAAAGGAAAACAAAGTGCTAAAACGACCTGCTGACAATCAGGCCAATATATAAAAAGGTGCTTGTGCATAATCGTCATGCCTGCGCAACACACACAACAACCCAGTGAGCGCAATCAAGCCCTGAGTCGGCGAAGCATGTAAATTGGCCGTTGCCGGTTTCGTCGAAACGCTGTATTTACGCTAACTGCTGCGGAACTATCAACTTGCATGAATATGTTGAAGAATTCTTCGGCTAAACTATTTCCAAGATCACTGAGACCACGTTACTCTGCCGATTCCTTAAAATATTAGACGACACACTACGCATTTCGCAATTTGTTACTTTCGGCTAAATAAAATCGATTGTCAAGAAACGCTTTGGTAGAACTATGCCGCGTCAACTGGACAAAAATACCACTAATCCTCTCCCGCAATAATCGATAGTTGCTTAAAAATGTGAAAGTGTTTACTCAAGAAGCATATGTGAATGAAGTTTTCATTGTTTTTGATTTTGATAATGTACAATCGAGTGAAAAATGATGAAAACGCATCCATCCGGGTACACAAAGCATGTCTTGACAGTCTTGCTTTTTCGGTCAGATAAAAACCCAGATATTGAAATTATTAACCAAGTGGATTACCGACAGATGTGACGAAGTTTTCGAAGACAGTGGCTGAGAGACGAGACAAAACAAGACGAAAGCCAGATCTGCAACTGCTTTAAGAAATTGGAGAACGAAGGCTATAGCACTGAACTTTAACATTTTCCTGCAAACGCATAGGCCGAAAGTACCGTTAACGCCAGTTTTGGATACAGAAGGTTCACCGTACCACTCTGTCACACAGTTGAGATACTTGAGCCAATCCGAAAACGGGTAGCGGCGCACAGACCGTGAGATAGATAGTCTCGAATCTGTAGATGCTGTGCGAGATATCAACGTCTCGGACCTGATAATGTGTTGTCTGTATATGGTCTCATCGCTCATTAATATGTTAATATTTGAAACAAGAAATTAAAGCAGTGATTACGTTGATGGGAACCGGATGGAACTCAGCACACCCAAAGTAGCTCTGAAGGAATTGTTGTTTAAATGCACTTTTAACATCCAATTAAATGTAATAGAGACATACTGGCAGCAAAAGGTGGTGGCGATATGTTCCCCAAAAACGCCGCCACTCGCTAGTATTTTTAAGTTGCCGCCTTATGAGTTTACCAATACAAGTGTAGAAGTAATAGCACGCTCATGGGTCGGAATGAGAGAACGGAGTAAAGTTCGTGGGGTTAGGGTTGAGCTCGGTGTGTACTCGACTGCACAAGTTGCGAAACTCCTCGTAAAGCACGCAAGGTTATCAGTTATCACAATACTCTAAACCTGCTGCGGTTTCCGTCACCTAGTGACTGCAGCAAATGCTATCCAAACAACCTGAGTTCTAGACCATCCTAGCCTTAGTCTGGTGTATGGGGCAGGTTCTGCCACTCAAAGCGACCACTTCGAATGCTACATCTTTCGGGTGATTGCGCGCATCGATCCCCTGCCACCAGCATTCAACTGATTCTGCTGCCGTGTGTACGTAACCTGATGATAGTAAAATCAGGTTATGCTGCGAATCGTTCTTTGCTGTTACTGTCGAAGTTAAATCTCAGCAATAATCGCTTTGTGTCCTAATTATATATGAACAATATTCCGAAAGCATAGGTGATCCAAGATAGTTGGTGTCTAGATAACCTGAAGCCAGTTGATTAAGTTTCTGACCCATTGTTATACAGCGGCATCCCACGCCCAATGGACTGATAACCTGGCCTGCAACCATTCTCATAGATGGTTGGAGATTTGAAAATGCAGCTCCTGTTGAAACGTGCAGCCACATCCTCGGTTCATTGCCCCGCAGAGGTGTAATGACTGTTTACGTGGTTGAGTTGCGTGACTATAGGGAGTAGGAACTGGAGCATGGGTCAAGTCCTACAACAGCGAAGTACGTAACAAGGTATGCTGCGTATGCGCTGATGCAGTATTCAACCTCAGGAGAGCTATGTAGTCCGTCAAGCCTTAGTAATATGGGAAAAAGTTCCATGAGTAAAAGGCGGACAAGAGGCGGTAAGTCATACCCAATTCACTCAAAAGTTGAAAAATAAAGCGGATAAGGGGAAACCTGATGCATTCCTCTTGACGTAAAGTGCTCAGGAGAGAAATTCTTCTGGACCTACACACGCACGACCTCGGGAGTCACGATGGACGAGTAACAAGACAGAAAGAAGATTCCCTGGGCTGATTGTTAAGGACATGTATTAACACCAACTGGTGCGAACAGCTGAAGCAACGACACCTTAAAGACAAGAATGAATACCACATTAGTTAATCAGTATGTAAGAAGCAGTTCCGGCACCTGATCAAGTCTAAACACGTGGCCGATCCATCATCTACAGATTCGGCCCACAAGGAAACCAGTGAGTCGCTTCTGTATGGTGTCAATGCGTAGTTCGTAAAGGTGGACAATAATCCTGAATATCTCGAAGAGTGTCGCGTGAAATTTAGTGACCATTTTGACCATGAGGTCGATGGTTGAAGGCCACCGCTCGGAAGTAACATCTCTAGTGTTCCACACTATATTATACATCGACATCTTCTCCGTCGTTTAGCTATGACGAAAGAAGACCGTCGGTCCCACTGACCTTGTCCCGATCAAACATAGCGAAAATGAACCACATTTTTCCGTAGGAAGAAGACACGATGCCAAGTTTACGCGAGGATTCGATTGATTCAGTAACTGGTGGTGACACTATGTGCATGCCAGAGGTACTTACGAAACGTTTTGGTTGACGTAACGGAACCTGACAGCCATCAAACTTTCACACCTACTGCCTTGCTAAGGTGTTTAGTGTACCTGCGACGCAGCTGTCTACAACAATAGCAGTCAATGTGATATCACCAGTCCTCGATATAAACCAATGATCCTGACAGCAGATACTATGAAAGCGATTGTCCAACCAAAATGTCTTCCGTGCATCAAGCAATCGAATTGACGGTTCAAAACTTCATCTACAGTTCGGACGCCTAAAGTTGGACGAGAAAGTAATGCCGGATGCACTTTATACTGATTAACAGAGACCATTCTGGTAGAAATTCATCTTGGTGATAGCTGATGGACCAGTTCGCAAAATGAGCGAAAGCGAAGTCCGGAAGTTAAAAAATAAAGTTATGAGATCAAGCGGACTACTGATGTTGCACATCGGAAGCTGAATATGCACACTATATATCGATCGACAAACTTGCATTGACATGTGCCATCTGTGTCAAGCGGTTCACTTTGGACGAGAAAAGTACCACCACAAATACGTGCCACGTTGGTGTTGGAACGTGGCGCTGTGGTTACAGCTGGTCAAAGAAAAAAGAACCAGACCATGCACAATAGGCAAAAGGTTAGTTGCTTAAGCATTTGCGTCAAAATCTTCCTTATAAACATTAGATAAAGGTGCGAAACAGAGCAATTGTGCCGCAATACATAAGAAAAAAATGCTCAACAGAAGTATGTCAGATTAGCCACCAATAAAGGATAGGCATCGTTCCGGAGAGTAACCAGCCGGCTATTGTGCCGAAAGAAACGAGTTACATTATGCCTATGAAATGAGATTGTGGGGTAGGCTAAGTGGGGGGGAGGGACAACTCACAACACAAACGTCACCAAGGTCGGCTCCTAGGAAAGTTGATAAGTGTATCTAGCCAAAGGTGCTCATCGTTTTTCGGATCACAAACAGGGAGCCTAGAGGTTCCAACCGAGGCCAACTTCGGACTAAGGGTCTTCATTCTTCTTGACCAAGACATCGCTTAGGTACCTCTCCTCTCCTTCCATCTACACACCCGGCGTGTAAACAACGAACTTCGCGGCGGTCGGTGTGTTGGCTTGCGCAATACATAATTCAGCCATGGAAGTCTGGTGCGTAAAATAACAGGGCTGAGCAATTCACTTCCCCTTTCTGTGCCGTAGACAAAGTGCCGAACACGCTCATTACTCACGCGGTGTTCCCACCAGATATGAGCCAAACTCCGAAGGCACTGGTCTGGTGGTCGAACGTAGCTAAACTCTTTGTGTCTGCCGATCTAATGGGCCAGATTTCACAACTGTACAGTAGGGCCAAATGTACAGTTGCGTTGTACATTCTACCCCTCAGGGAGAGTGATGTCGCGCCGGCGTCATAGGTAACAAACGTTAGCAAGTTCGCCTTGAGCTTTGGCTCTACGGTTAGGGACCCCGTTTTCCATTCCACAGGCCCTGATACTATTGCCCAGGTAGTATAATTTTTGACCGACTTCCAGTTGATCCCCACCAAGGGTCAGCGCAGGAGGCGGGCCCCACCAATGTGGGAGGAAAGCTTTGTACTTTGGTGGTGTAAAGCAAAGACCGAAACGACTGATAGCCAGTGCTTATTTGTCCAGTGCTGTTTCACACGTCCGAAAACTGTCACATATTAGGGCACTGTCGTCAGCATATTCCAAGTCAAAAAGTCGTTCATCTGGGAGCAGCTCCAAACTTTCTAAGTCGTGTCATGTAAACGCAATCTCTTAGACATCGTCAATTGGGAAGTTGAAGAGGAAAGGTTACAGAAGGCATTCATGTTTTGCACTACTGGATATCTTGAAGAGTGGCGACAGCTTGATGTAAGCCCTCACTCCACCACAGCTACGCGCGTAAAGCGCCCGGATAATGTTTACAAATTTCTTGGGCACACTTTTCCTTAGGATACAGTCCCAAAGGGCACATCAATCAACCGAATCGATGACACGTTTGACATCGAGAAACACGACTACGGTGGGACTCCAATATGTGTGACGGTGCTCCAACAACTGACGCAAAGTAAAGATGTGATGGATGCAGCACCGACCTCGACGAAACCCGGCTCGATCCTCAGGAATCCGGATATCACGAGTGACCGTCAGTTTGGAAGAATGACAGAGACAATTAATTTGGAGGCGATGGAGATCAGATTGATAGCTCTATGGTTGTTGCATTCCGAACGAGAGCCTATTTTGAAAATGGACTATATGGGAGCGGCTCCACACGGTTGGGACAGTTTCACGCTCCCGGCGTTGCACTAATAACCCGCGTAATTCAGCTAGAAGAGCAAAATCCCCGAATGCGAATAGGGCTGGAGGAAGATCATCTGATCCCGCGGTCTTATTCAACTTAAGCAATCTGATCCCACGTTCCACTTCTGAGCGAGGGCTCATACAAAGGGACAGCGAGCAGGGCGACCGGTAAAAAATCTAGCAGTTTCAACTGATTAAATTGCCTTTCAGACTGCACAGCCCGACAGTCCAAGCATTGTGGATTGGCTGTCCATTCTCGCCCCATATATCCTCACTAACACCAGGTCTGCTGTTGTCCATTGCCCGTATCAGACGGAGCAACTTCCGATGGTTATCAAAGGTGGCGGCCACTCCTATCTCTGACGCACGATGAGACCACAAGGATTCGGGATTTCTCTTCAGGCCAGAACGGAGTTTTGCCCTGATGCTTTTGCGAGTCTCATTGTGTTCGCTTCCAACTGGAATGTGCCGACGGGCATCGATATTTATCGATCGTGAAGATCGTGAAGAGACCTAGTGTTCAGATTAGCTATTAGGTTTGACACATGTGGATTTGCATGCAGTGCATATTGAACCAGTGAATTTCAACTGTATTTAGTCGGTGCTTCATCAACCCGAATGCCAGCACATTTCGATGCTCATTCAGAACATCTAGCTTCACCAGTTGGTGGGTGGTAATGCGCTCATCGCCGACGTCCGCCAAAACGCACACATAGATCAGCACATATAAGTGCTCTGAATCGAGCGGCAATTTTGGACACAGCATCCCCAGCAGTAACTGATCGCGATGTGATCGATTTGCATCCATGGCTGGTTAGAGAGCGGTGGGCGAGTTGTCACTTTCCGACAGTTTCAGATCCGCAGCCAGCACCATATTGTCCGCACTACATCTGTGACGAAGCAGCTCGTTTGGTTGGCGATAGGAGTCATCTATTACCAAATCATCGCGTAGGCACCGATACCTATTAGCCCTGCGCGAATTCGGAGCTTTGAAAGAGCCAGACAGTCGGACCGCACACATCCGGCTACTGATTGGCAAGCAATCAACCATAGCGAACTCAGGGAAAGGACAACACCGGCTTGGCCGGTACTCGAAGCTGCATCGGCTCCGGATAGGTGCAATGAGAAAGCATTGTTACTGACACCTGATAGGGATCGCGAAGTAAGCACAGAGCTCGAGTCTTGCAGGTGTACCTCCGATAAGTAGCAGATATAAGCCGAAATGGTCTCTAATATTCGGGCAAGTGCCGATTTTTGACCGATCTGCAACAATGTGTGTACATTGAGGCATAGCAACATGAGAGATTATCGAGGGCTCCAAATAGAAGCAGATGAACCAGACTTGTCCGCTTGGTTAGACATGGGCTTCTCGATAGGGCAAGAGTGACGTTCTGCATTTGCGTGTAAGTTGAAAATAGAAGATAACCACTTATCAAAGCAGGGTGGGGGAGAGCCAGGAATTGGGAGATTGAAAACGGGGGTAAATTGAAGTTGGGAAGGGACGATAAAGGAGAAAAAGCGTAAGAGGGGGAATAAGATGGGAAGGTTTAGGCAACAGCATCTAGACTTCTAGCCACTCTGCTCGACGCAGTAGATAGGGCACCGTTGATTACCCTCTGCGTCGGCCAAAGCATCAAAAGGTGGTTAGAAGGAAAGGTCGTGTTTTGCGTGGGCAGGGTACTGTCAGGTTGTCTGGGCCTAGACAAAAGAACTATTAGGGTTCTCAAGCCAAGCGCTTGGTTCAAAAACCTGACCGCAAGGCAGCGGGCTTGACAGTGGGCTACAACGAGTCCGTTTTAGGGAATAAGGAGCCACCCTCACTCCAACTCCCAACATGGAGGGCCAGAAAACTGAGTCTGTCCGGCCTCCCTGTGTCGTACGAAGTCAAAAAAAGTGCACGGATATTGGGACGATACTCAGTCTACATATGTGGCAATTCGCCAAGACACAAGTGAGTAGGCTGCATTCAGCCCTTATACTGAACGCAATTCAGGCTCCGCTAATGCTTTGTAGTAACTAGCTCGGTTTTTCGATGATAGTCAAGAAGGACAAAGTAATGTTAACAAAAACTGCGGTGGACAGTCAAAGTTTCAATACGACACAAGTACCTTGTATGTGTGTATGTGCGTGTTTCGAGAGCATACTAGGCTAATCAAAGATAGCGCAAATTAACCGATTTGACAGAATGGCAAACTCAGTGCAGAATAGTGAATGATTCAGTGCTATCGTTTGTGGAGATTTTTTGTATAATTTAGAGGTAATTGATTACATGGTTCCGAGGAATGTGCACCAATGACGAGAACCGGGATGGTTGATACAGCGCTGTCTGGTGCTTTTCTAGACTTGTTAAAGCCTGCTGACTGAAAATGGACTATGATGAATTACCTCTGAATTATATATGTATTTGTAGTTGTGGCGAAGCCAACGGGGCAAGCTTCCGCTAGATGACCAGAGGAGAAGAAAAATGGAACCGCATGTACGAATCAGAAGAAAGAGCAATAGAGATGGCTTTTTGCAAGCAGGGAAATCTCTCTGGTCGCTCAACTTGAGATGTTTCATCCGAAGTTCCTGACCTCTATCCTTTGACTAAGGCTTGCCTGATTCCCAAGACAGTTGAATAAATGGAGATATATTTCAGGACGCCACAGATGTAACAGACCTATCTATGATGCAACGGAAAGTAAACTTTTCTTCAGAATGTGAAGTGGAGCTCCATGGGGCTTGTGTTGGGTCAATCGCACACAGCACCAGTATATTTAGATTTAGAATAGGGATCGACCGTGTCACCAAAAGTCGTCAAACGAAAATTAATTGTATGTCAAGTCTCCTACAAAAAAGATAAAACGGAAAGCAAATGGTCATAATGACGCCAGTTCCCTTGTTCCAAACAATCGGATCGAGACTAAAAACTGTTGCGCCATAGAATCAATATGGTGAGCCGCAGTAATGCCCTACAAGCATCACTTTCTGACGATAATTTTAATGTCCACTTTTCAAAAAAAAACGTGTGGCGTCCGCAAGAAGTTAGTTTAGCATTAGACACTTTGACTGTTATTTCTATGAAGCGTTCCTCAAGCTAAGCAGCGAAGCAAACGATAAGTCCTTATTTTCATATTTAAAGTATTAGCTGTTTTACTATCCTTATCATCATTATTGTTATGTTGATATCCCTACCAACTATCCAACGGGACTTGTATAGCAACGCTTCTTAACCCGTATAAATTCATTGTTCATTGTAAGGGTCAGAACACCAAAAATGAACTCACTTTACCTCCGACGGTGCGACAAAGCTGGACCAGTCTGGTCAACTCGTTTTCAATAGCGGCGAACTCAGAAGGCACCTGGTTTAAAGTCGATTCACTTGATGGAGCATGAGCCGGTAGATGGTGCACAGGTTCTTCGTGAAACCTGTGCATCGAATCAGGTGTAGTAGGGAGCATAGGAGAAGCAGTGCCCAGTGGCTGAGCTGCTGGCCACTGTTCCAAGCTAGGGTTCAGAGTCTGGTTGCCAGACTGGTACAAAGAACGCGATGTGGGAGGCAACCAATTAACCCCAAAACCAAAACGCTCTTCAGCGAGACTAGCCTGATGATGAATATTGGAAGTGGAAACACAGGTGCTGGGGTAGACAGTGGAACTATGGGGAGGTAGCGTCGCTTGCTGCGGTAGGTTCGTAGACGGTGGTAGTTGAGGTGGAGGTAATGGCGTTGCGTTAAACGCATTTCGTGCTTCAGGCAGGGGAGGGTGGATCCCATTCATCTGAGGACTCCCCATGTCATTAGGTGGAATGTAGGGACGGATAAGAGCGGGTCGAGAGTAGGATTCCACGGAGGGCAAAGCTGACGGGGCTCGTGGTTGTGTTGGCGCTCCTGAAAACTGAGTCGGATCGTAGAAGTTGTTTTGAGACACTACGGGTCGAACGGGATGCTGCAAAGACACAAAAACACAGAACGTGGTTGATAACATGTTGGATGGCGATGACAAGAGGCGGTACGCATTCGAGCATGCATAACATGCGGGTTCCAGCTACGAAAACTCCACGGAACCAAAAGCAAAAGGAAGCAAGTTAACACACTCACGAAGTTGCCATCGGATGCCGGTTGAGAAAACCGCATCAGAGAACTCCGGAATCGCTGTGACAAGAAACCGAGGTGGCAGCGAAAAGCAGATAAGCTGGTTTAACTGCGGGAAGCACGCTGAGTGTACACGAATATAGATGTAAACAAAGTGGACGAGGACGACGACGACGACAGATAAATAGGAATACCAAGAATGGGTCGTTTTGATAAATCAGACGACAAGAACTGGGTGAAGGATCCGAGTAAAAGCATCATTGGTACAGCAAATTGTGATATTGTTTGTAACAAAGCAGGAAAAAGTGACAGTAGTATGTGAATCCAAGACCAGTGGTAAAGCATAAACATAGAAATTCGCTTCAAAAAGATCAAAAGAAAAGATAATTAGTCCTGACAAATCCACTCAGGGTTGCACAACTAACACTCGGGTATCAATTGCTTCATGCTTAGAACCGCTTTGACGGACCGTTATCCGAAGAGAAAACGATATCATCTATCCAATCACTAACATCAGGAGTGGAATCCATGAGCTGGCCACAAATAAAACCAATGGCAAAGTTTTGGAGAATTCATCAAATGCTGCTACCTCGAGAACACGCTGTCACCAGAGTCGCATATGACCAGTGAGCTATGCATCAGGATGTCGAACGCGTGTGCGGCTTTCGACAAACTGGAACATCGGGTGCGGAATAACCATCAGTTGGCGCTATGCAAATCAACGGTGCTGAGATTATCTAAGATGTTTAGTGAACGACCGATGTTAAATGCATTTAACAAATATATTAACCGGTCATTCACTAAGCCGTTTGAAATGATGACTTCCCGATCGGTTCCAGATATATTCCAAGGTATATAATGGTGCTGACGGTTCTAACCCAAAGTAACGAAACACAGACGCTCTACAAGAAGAACATTATCTACCTGGAACGATTTCACCAACAACACCTACGTCGGATTGTGAGTACCCACCAGTGGAATAGAGTGGCTGACATGGAAGTGACCCGCCAGAGTAGCATGTACAAAGTGGATTAGATGTTGCTACTACAAAACCTAAGGTGTTTCGGACATGTTTGCGAGCGAATTCGACCCAGATATCGAGGCATCTGCTATGTGGCCAACTTAACACAGGGAAGCGGAAAGTAGGTAAACCGAAGATACGTTACCAAAACATAATAAAGATGAGTTTATCACAAACTAATATTGAAGTGGAAATAATGACGATGGATCGGCGCCAAAGGCGTGATCACAACAAGAATGCCGTTGCCGAGATGTACGGGGAGAGAAAAAACGCCCATTGCAAAAAAGTCACAGGTGCACATGGTGATGTAACACATGTGGTCGTGTGTGCCTTAGACAAGTCGGTCTGGTGAGCCATCAACGTGACCACGAAGGGCTAAAATCTAAAACGTAACGAGTCAGTTGAATAGGTACGTATGCATTATCAGCGCAGCGATTGGCAAGTACGCTGCTTCCGATTTCACTGACTAACGCATGTAAATAATGCGATAGATGTGGTACTGCGCTTCAACGTCGCTGCAAATGGTTTGTAGGTGTGCCTGTGCACTCATTTTCGCGCATTCTAGCTGTTTATTTATTGATATCCTCCGTATGGCTGCAATTGATGGGAATGATCGAAAAGGTCTACTTTCGCAGCTAGACTAAGTCAGACAGCGGCCACACAAGAAGAAAAATGGTTAAATGATCGTTTTGTCCTATTGGGACAAAAGACTGGTTCCCCTGTATCAAGTGAGATGCAACCGCTTTGGGGGGAGAGAGTAAACCACAAGTGTCTGGTGGCAGCGGAACGGACCAAGTGTTCGTGTTAATGACAGGGGTATTCGCACTACTGTCCTCATCAACAAGAAGGAAACTGAGAACGTTCGATGCAAGTAAATTTAGTCAGCCAACCTTCATACATCCAGTAAAGCACTAGAGCGCAGTTGCAATAGAGCCTATCTGCCGGATCCTGCTAGGTCCGTAAACATGACTGCACTCTCACGAGTCAGCGACTTAAACCACTGAGGCATGATTGACGCCGGTGGTCTATCATGACTACGACATAGCGGGAATGCTCCACCACTATCATGTTGGTTCGGATGGAGCACGGAATAGAGTTAGCCCCTAGCAATCAATATGATAGGCAGATTCAGCGGGTGATTATTGATAACTAGAGTGTATTTTGCGGAATGTGGGCGAGCGTCATCACTAGAAACAACCACGATTAGCAGTTGCGGTTCACGCACAGCTTACTTGGAGTCAACGACTGGCCGAATGCACGTTGAATGTGGATCTGAGTCTCCAGTAAAACTTCTGGTGGGTTTATACAATTACCACTGTACCATTAGTGAGTACCGGTATCGAGTTTTTCAGTCGCTGCACACCATGCTAAGTAGAAAGAAGCACAGCTCCCATCATAAAATGTGCCTATGTTTTGCTCCAGCTTTCCGGGTAGAAACACAAGGCATCATCAGACAATCTGAGGCTGGTCCGGGTAAATCTGTCACAAAAAGGCTTTTAAAAAGCATTCACTGTCATAGTAATTCTTTCGCAGGTACACAAGTGGCTAAGTCGATGGGTAAGCCATACAAGAAAATTAGAATATTCGCATTCCTGGTCAGAAAATTGAAAGGTGTCATCAATCTCGATCTAATTTGCGCTTTCTGATCTTTGTCAAATCCGATTGGGCAGGCCTATAGAAAAATTTCCCGTAGAGACCACAGCCCTGATAATGAACAAATCGGGTCGGTAACATTCAGGAGTTTAGTTCGTTTCGGTAAGTTGGAAAACTGCGTTGGATTCTCAGATTCGATAAGGGTTTTGATTAAAAAAGCCGATAACTTATATGTTAACATCGGAGTTATGGATCAAGGAAACGTGGATTTTCGGCTGGATCCATAAAAACTGCTGGAATTTCGGCGTAAGCATTCAGTGTTTGCGTGGTTGTTCGTCTAGGCGCATTTTTGTCAAAGTTGATGGTTTCAATTTTCAGTTTTGTTCGAAAGACGTTGGGAAACGGGTCAGTGTTAGCTTCAAGTTGTCTAGAATTTGGAAAATAGTGCAGCTGAGCATCTGGTAAGAGCGATAGCACGACCTGTGAAAAAAACATTCCGGTTTCGGCAACTAGGTGAACATCATCAGTTCACGAGTGACTGGTGGATATTAATGAGCAGAGGATAGAGAGAGCTCGCCGGAAGAGTGAAAATAGGACACGTTTTTCATCCCTTTGGATGATGATATACAATATTTCGCGAGGAAACTGGATAAAAGGATGACAGTGAACTGCGTGATCCATTATTCAGACTGAGTGTCGCTTTGTAAGTGCCGCCAAAGCCACCTCTGATAGGCAACAGGAAACCGGATGAAAACTTTCCCGATGGAAACTCGAGAACTGATGGTTGTGTTGAAAAATAGCCTAGTCACAGAGAATAGGTTTACGAACTAACAACTCAGTTTGCACCACGAGCAAAACATGCTAGTGAGTGAGCCCAGATTTAGCCCACAAGTTCATGGAAACCGCAGGAAGCAAGTGACTTGGCTGTAGTTCCAAGGTTAAACTGCATGCGAGCGCCTTCTGTGTGGAACGTCGTTAGATAACTCAAAGTATGTGCGATCCCGACTAAAAACGGTATTCCCAGGAGTCTCAACTAAATCGAAATCATAAGTTAGTGACGTTGACAAACAAGTATGCGTCGATGAACAGCGTCAAACACGGTAGGCGTATATTAAAACAAAAATAACACGCAGGCATGATCGGAAAATTCAATTTCCCAAATAATGCGGGAAAGAGAAAGGTATCCGTGACATTCTCAAATTTTCAGAAACAAGATGAAAGTTTATTTACTTGAATATCACTGGCCTGGATGGTATCCTGTTAAAGTAATATTTTAATAGGCGTAGTTTCACACGGTTAGCATGGTATCTCCTCCGGCGACACCTCCGCTCGAATGATCGGTTGTGAATGCGTCATTAGCATGTTACGGTACTGAACACACAGGACACGTTGAAAAGTGCGATGTATCGAACAATACAATGAAGTGATAGATGTCGAAAAGAATCGTTAATAGAAAATCGGAAAATGCGTCCAAAAAGAACCATTCACAGTGAGTGAACACAGTTTGGACCGTGTATCAATTTAAAGAAATACGTGGACTCATAATCAAAAAGCCACATCCCAGAGCCAACTCTACTTTCTAGCTGAGAGTCAAATAACTTGCTGGCAGACTCACGATCACCTCAGATCAACAACAAAACATTTACTTATGCCCAAACAGAGAAAGAATTTGTCAAAGATTAGACCGCTGTCTCTGACATAATGCGCACTTAGTAAAGGGAGCGCTTTTAGGCTGCACTTCGCATTGTGGATTTCAGTCAAAGATCAGAGTCGCATGCACGTTAGGGTGCATCTTTGAGACACAAACTAAGTCAACCAAGTGAGGAAATGGTCTTTCCATAATCGGTTATCCGGCCTGTTGAATGCAGTTGGGTGAATAAGTAGAGTATACCATATTTAGCATCCCCTTCCCTTGTTGACTCCAAACGACGCTATATTTATTCCTTCCAATCCTTGCCATGTTGCGTTTATACAACAGACTCTCAGTTACGTCCAGCGCAATCGGATGCCCTCATTTGAATCCATGAAGATAGAGTGCTATAACGTGCACACAGTTCCAGCCAAGACTGCAAGTCATGCTCCAATGTAACGCATTGGGTTATCACAATAGAGCTCGATCGTAGTGACATAGATCCCGCAATCACCTTTGATCACAAGAAACTCAGAAAATGGAAGATAATTAAGGCTTCTGGACATAATGCTTTATGAACTTCACTGCCAATCTGAATTATACAGTGGGT